CTGTTTATCTCCCAGCATCTAGCCTTAACTCCTCAAGTCTCTCTTCTGTTTTGAGTCCAGAGAGATTAAACTAAATCACAAATATGCACTTTATTCTTCCATCAAAATATTCAACTGCTCCTATGTCCATGAGCTTAAAGTCCAAGTTCCTGGGTGAAGTATTCAATGTCCCCAGTTGTCTGCTTACCTCCATCTACTTCTCCATTTCATTTCCCTCCACTGTCTTTCCCACAAGCAATACTGCATGATTTCTTCTTCTTCTGCATATAGTTTGCTGCTTTGTGTCAGCACAGTTTTTGGAGAAGTAAATGTTAAGATTAGACATGAAAAATATTTATTTGGGAAACCACCTGTAAACGATAAAGGAGAGGGAGCAGAAAATAGGTGCGAAGAGCTTCGAAAACAGGATGCAGGTCTGACACTTGTGAAAGAAGAGATGAAAGAAGGATTGAGTAGGAAGAGCTTCATACTGCAATGCAGTTCTTAAAAAGTTTTGGATAAGGATAATAGGGAGTACCTAAGTAAAAGTTGCCCATTAGAAGACTATCACAACAGGCAAGAATTGTCTGGTTCTAGTAATTCTGCCATATCCAGTCATTCCCTGAGAGTCCCCCAGGGGAGAAGCATGACCCGGTGGGCACATTGCTATAGAGTCAAAGGTGCTGTAGCTGGAGACTATCAGTGATCAATGATCTCTGTGGCAGGTTCACTCATAGAGAGATCTGAGTGGGGTATTGTCACAGCTGCTACATGCTTCTACCCATATAGTATTTCACCATGTTGTTCTATCTACCATTCCCACTGTCGACCCCACTTTTGATTGGTCGACTCCCACCAGTAATTTAAGATCAGCCATCACCTTTTTCCCAAAGCCTTCCCTGACACACTCAGGCTGAATCAAGAGCACACATGAAGTATATCTCTATCATAGCAATTATATATATATATAAACCGATTTCCTCCACTTGAATGAAAGCAACTTGAAGGCAAGGACTGGGTCCCATTTATCTCAATATTCCCAACACCTGACATTGTGCTCAGTAAGCATTTGCTGAATGAGTAAATGAATAAATAAATGAATGAATACGTAAACTCAATGTCCCCTATCCAATATCCAATATTTGCTTTAATTAAACTGGTCTCTTTATTGTCTCACGAAAGCATAATTCTCATTATGTCTCCTTACTTTCCTTTATGTCTCTGCTCTTACCTAAAATACCTCTTCTTTGTTTTATGTAGTTGTTTTCATTCTTCAAGACCCTGCTTAGTCTAAACTCAGCTTCAGACAAGCTTTCCATGTATACTTCCATCTGCTCTAATTTCCAGTTTCTATAAATTCTCACTGCACTTGACAGTCTAAACCACACAAAGCTAGTATACTTGATTATACATGTTCTTACATTACTCACTAATGATTTTGGGGGTTCTGAGCCTAGCTTGCCAGTTAGGTGTTAATGCCATAAGAAAAGAGTCTATGTTGTCTACTTTGTCCTCTCTCTAAATATAGCATAATGCAAAGTACTAATTACAAAAATTTAAACCTTTCAACTTTGAAGGGCTAAGTCAATCTCTGCATACAGTTACAAGAGTAGTGTGAAAACTCTCCTTTAATGGAAATTATATAAGTGAGTGAATCATCCTTGAGATTTATTCAAGAGCCTTCTACTTCTAAAGTGGTTTAATCAGAAATGTGAGGAATAGAGAAAGGCCTTAACTGGAATCTTAGAGACCCAGGTAACTAAACATGTTTCTTTTACCAAAATTTACGACAGGAATGACTTTTTCTTAGTGGGAGAGTCATTATACTAGTTATTTACTCTAATGCACTTATTCTACATGAAGGCAGCATTGCTTGATATACCCTGTTATTTGATATATCCCCAAGAATCTTTAATCCCAGTCTCTCATACTATCTACACATTTATTCATTTATCTATTCATTATACATACACACAAACACACACACACAGCACATCTAAAGAGATAGTATAATGGCTAAGATTCCAGATGCAAAACCAGAATTCCTAGGTTCAAATCCTGGCTTTATCACTTGTGTTGTGTGACTGCAAACAAAGTACTTAATGTCTCTGTGCCATCTGTAAATGAGGATGATAAAAATAGTACTTTCTTGATAGAATTGTATGAAATAACTAATATTTATAAAGTATTGAGAGCAGTGCTTGGTACGCAATAAGTGCTACATATATTTTAGCCACAATTGTAATTATTACTACATATCCAGTGTTTATACTACTACCTCTCCTAACATACAGTCCTAAGAACTTTGGTTACTCCATCCTATGTACTACTTGACATCTTCGTTTTTGATGGGATGAGAAACAGAACAGAAAAATTTTAATGCAGGACCATTGAATACAAATGGGAAGAGCACCAAACTGGAAATACGGAAACCTAAATTTTAGTACTTGCCTTGCCATTTTTCTCTTGTCCCTTGTGTGATATTGGACAACTCTTTTAACTATTGACTCATGTTTCAAATTATGTTGGTTAGCCTAATGCAATAGTTTTCATATGTTTATTATTTATTTTACATACTGACAAATGGATAAATATATATCCATGCAACGGAATATTTTTTGGCCACAAAAGGGAATGAAGTACAACATAGATGAACTGTGAAAATAGTATGCAAAAAGAAAGAAGCCAGTTACAAAAGGGCATATTATATAATTCCATTTATATGAAATGTTCAGAACAGGGAAATCTATAGAGACATAAAGTAGACTAGCGGTAGCCTAGGGCTGAGGGGTAAGCTTGTGGTGGGTGGGTAGGGCATGGTAATTAATGTGTATGAGGTTTTTTTGGGGGGTGATGAAAATGTTCTAAAATTGACTGTGTTGGTGGTCACACATATCTGCGATTATAATAGAAACCATTGAACTGTACACTTTAAATGAGTGAATTGTATGGTATGTGAACTGTATCTCAATAAAACCATTTAAAAATTCTTGTACACCATCATTCATAGCTTCATTGTTTATAATAGCCAAAAAGTAGAAACAACCCATACTTCCATCACCTGAAGAATGGATAAACAAAAAGTGGTATATGTACATAATGGAATATTATGCAGCCATAAAAAGAAATGAAGTACTGATTAATACTATCAGATGGCTAAACTTACCTCTAAAACATTATGCTAAGTGAAAGAAGCCAGACATGAAATGTTAAATATTATATGCTCTCCCTTATGTGCAAAGTCTAGAAACGGCAAATCTATAGAGAAACAAAGTTGATTAAAGGTTGCCAGGGAATATGGATAGGAGAGAATTGGGAGTATCTATTAACAAGTATAGGATTTCTTTGGCGGAGTGATGGAAATGTTCTGGAGTTAGATAGTTGTGATAGTTATACAATACTGTGAATATATTAGAAGCCATTGTATTATACACTTTAAAATGGTCTTTTTAAAATCTATTTCAATTTTTTAAAAATTGCCCCCAAAATGCTGTATAGGAGTAAATCCTGATTTAACAGCAGTCCTTAAAAAAAAGGAACACGTGACCAGTTGGTCAAAAAGACCAAACAAAACAGTGTTTTTTTTAGAAGCTTGTGAAAGAGTTTTAAGGATAAAGTTGTCAAAATCATCCAATTTCCCACGTGTGGATTCTATTATCACCAGGCATCTCTTTCATTATAGTTTGGTTTCTTGTGTATATTTCATTTTGAGAGAAAATTTGTTGACGAGAATTTTCTGGTCTTTTTGGCCATTATATTTTTCATGGGAAAAAAAAAGAGAATAAATTGGATTGGAATTTTGGTTTGTTTTATAAATGTTATCTGGTCATCCCAGTGAGGCATATTTGACGCCCCCCCTCCTAATTTTAGCTCAGATGTGGAGGCTCTTCATACACTGAGAGAATCTGAGATAAATTTCATTTCTCAAGGGATCCCTGAAAAAGCAGGAGGTCCAAACAGGTCGGCTGATTTGAGAGAGGAAAAGGAAGTGCTTCCGGACTTTATAGTCTCTAGAGGGTGGGACTGGGGTGAAGCTCTCCACCATGGGTTGCACATCTGCAAGTTTTAAATTTCTCACTGACAACAAAGAAGATAATGGGCTTTCTTATTAGCCTGTCCAGAAGTGGGGGTCAATCTACAAATACTCCAAGGTTTTGAAACTTTTAATTTTCCATATTTGTTATTTTCATTATTTGTTGTCTTTTCTTGTAAAGCTTATCTTCAGGGCCAGTGGCAAAGGGATGTATAGATGAGAAAGAAGGAATTAGCTCAAATAGAATTGGTAGGATTTAGTGACTAAACTTGAGTGCATGTTAAGCGACTATCAAGGCTAGGTTTTAAGTCTGGGTAGGGTAACTTTTGAGAGAATGACCACTATTGCTACAAACATTGTGAGGAAAGTTGGGAGAGGAAACTTTCTTTACCATTCAGAACATAGTATTTAGAAAATTTTTCTGCAAGTTGTGTCTTCGCAAATGTTTTTCCCGTAAATGTATTTTTTCCTTAACATTTTAATAGCATTATAGATATCTATATGACAGGAATAACATGCAAGAAAACTATACGTTTAAAAAAATTAGTAAAATTAACCAATAATTTAAATAACCTGACTTTTATTCCTTTTACTCATCTGATTTAGGTCTTCATTTCTCTGGTATATAATTTTTTTTTCCCATTGATGCCTCCATGCCTTTCATACAGGGAGGTTGCATTATTCACGTTTCTATGTGCTCAGATACTTTGTGCAGCTCGGATTCCCGCATTGCAACTCGGGTTGGACAGCAGACTTGCAGAAGAGACCGGCATCAGCGCCAGGCCCTTGCCCTGGCTCAAGGCCCACGGCCCACGGCCCACGGCCCACGGCCCGCCGCCCACCGCCAGAGAGCCGCTGCCTTCGAGAATGTGTAAGGCCATGCACATGTCTGCACCCGCCCTCCCTGGTCTGTTGGAAAAGAAACCCGGATGTGTGGGGGCGGAAAGGAGGGGGGAGGAGGATCAGGAGCTGGCGTCTACCCATGAGGCAGCGCGCGTAATTATATCCTTCTACCCTGGTCTGAGGCGCACATTCCGCGCTGGGAGTCACCCGCGGTTGTTACTTTCTCTGTGGCCGCCGCCTGGTGTTTTCGTGCTCCTCCCTTCCCTCCTCTTTCTCCTCTTCGGAGTCCTAGTCAGGCCGACCTGTTCTGCTTGCGGTAAGTGTCCCTCGCTCCCGCCTGTGCCTCGTGGAGCACGCAGAATCCGTCCCGCGCAACCGTGACCACCTTGTTCTGAGGACGCCACGGCGGCCTGGCTGTGAGGAAGGCAGATTGAGGGTCTGGGTGCCAGTGTGGGTCGCCAGGATATCCCAGGGCGCGGTGGAGGGGACGGGAGCGGTGGTGCGGTGCCGGGTGGACCACCATTTTGCGCCAGCCTTGGCGGGGGAGGGATCTTGGGAAGGTAGCTGCTCGGCGGCAGGGTTTGGCGGGCTGTTCAGGCCGTGGTCGCGCGGGCCGCAGCCTCTCCCTCATCTCCCGGGGCCTGTGCATCTGTCTGTCCCCAGAGTGGTTTTGGCTTTTCTTTCCGGAGGCAACTGCCTTTTGTACATTTGATGCTGATGTTTGGCGAGACCCGCCCACCCCCAAGTCTCTAAAGTCATAGGAAAAGAGACCAGAGAGGATTCCGAACTTTGAGGCTTCAGAGGCCCTTGGGGTCCATCCGTTCTGTCCAGGTTCCCCCCCATCCCCACCCAAGTTACTGGTCTTGGAGTGCTCACACTCTTGTTCTTGCCAAAGAGACTTCCCTTCTCCGTCAAAGAAATCGTGCTCCATTTCGTTATTGTCTAGAGAAGAAAAGCCCTGAGGAGAAACGTGTAGTTAGATACACATTTTTTTTTAACAGTGAGCTTTGCAGGTTTTACTTAATGGGGAAAAAAAAAATCTCGTTATGAAGTTTTAGCCTTCTCTAGACATAGAAGGAGTTCCTCTTAACTTATCTCAAATTTTAATGCTTTTATTAAGGAAAAGAGAAGAAAATGTCAAGTGCACCATCTTCTGTAAGCATGAGAGATCTTCATCCAAGGGATTCTCTTTGTTTGCAAAGGTTATTTAGTTTTGTTTTTTTTTTAAATATGTGAACTTAAATTTTGTCTTTTCTGTTTTCAGTTATGGATTGTGGGTTTTAATATCTGTTAGTGCCATTAAATGTAAAATTGAAACCAAGAAATCGAGTTTTAAACTACAAAAGTCTTAGCTTTTGTAAGATGTCTTGCTTTGAGGGTTACTAAACAAACTGAAACTGTTACCTTAAGAATAAACTTTACCGACCCTATGAAGGCACTAGTTTTGCTTATAAAATTAAGTTAGGGTTGTATGTCCTTGGTGTTTTGACATTGCCACAAATTCCACTATAATTGCATTTGTGTATTTGTATCTTGCATTTGTGTATTTCATTGATATCACCCATTTTGATGTGGGCTGTGGGGTGTTGATAAAACTGTTTCGAAGGTGAAGAAACAGCTTCAATGAGAAGATTTTGCTGAGGTCATAATGGCTAGGAATTGATAAAACCTTTTCTTAAACCTAAGACTTTTAACTTTTCACCCAATATTCAATTTACTGGATTGTGCTCCACTTCTTGTTAGAGTGAGGTGGTGAAGGAGAAACAAGGCTCAGCTAAATATATTTTTTAATTCTCCTTTATATTTTTAAGACTTCTTATCATTTCAACTTTTTAGTATTTAAATAATATTGTTATTATTTCTAAGTATGTTGAAAAGTTGAAGAGCCCATTGAGAAAAGTTCTGGTGTTGAAGGGCTCCAAACTTCAGCTTCCCCGGTCAACCTATTTTCTTCAGTTAAGTTTTCAATCCAGTCCAATTTCTTCAACCCAGAGTTTTACTACTCAGCATTGGCTTTTTTAGTTTCGGAGATGAGTAAGGGGAAAGGGATTTGTAAATCTGTACCTCCTCTTTTCTCCCATTTGTTCTCTTTATTCAGGAGGACATTTAGAATCATACCAAAATATTTTTTGTTGCTGTTACTCTAACTGGGCAGGGAAAATACCTAAATGAATAACAATTTTTGTAAATAGAAAGGAATCCATAATTTTAGTGACAAATAAGATTATATTGAAAACATATTTTGTTATTTCAAAAGTAACTTTTTAAAGATCGGAAATATTTGTGACCTATTCACTAATTAAATATATAACTGCATTTCTTTTTTTGTCTTCATGCATCAAGAGTGATTTTAAAATACTTGTTTTTCAATCAAGTTGTTTTAAATACCAACTTGGGAAGGCTTGGTTTACTCAGTAATTTGTATCAAAAATGTGTGTCTAGACTTTTTGATTAATTCTCTGAAAAGCAGTTTTCTTTTAAGTAGTGTCTTTATTAACCTTGAGCATGTCAGGAAAAATAGTCATAGCTTTGTGCCATCTGGGTCCAGTATGCTATTTTGATTTTTTTTAATATATATTTTAAGTAATTTTACAAATAACTTACAAAAGAATAAAGAAATAATGAAGCCAAATTTTTTAGATATTTATTAAGAATTTAGACATAGTGTACTTTGTATATACTTAGAAAAGCAAAAGATACATTTCAGAAACTGATAAAAGACTCCAGTTGTCTGTTATTAAGAAAGATATTAAAGGCATTGCAAAAGTATAAATTGGTGCTATTCATCTCATTAAATTTTTTGTTTTAGAAAAGTTATTTTTGTTAAAACTATGAATATTATTGTACTTATTGCTTTAAATAAATGCAGATTTAATTTTTTAAGTTGTGATTTTTAATATGTTGTTTCAGTAGATACAATCCACATAAATGAAAAGCTCACTGTTGTCTTTAATAAGTTTTAAGAATGAAAAGAGGTCCTGAGACCAAAAAGTTTGAGAACTACTGATCTGCTGTACTTTATTTGTGACAATATTTTAACAGTTCTTTATATGAACTAGAATTTTGTTTCATTTTTAGTGCAAAGTACTGTACAATAATTTTTTATATGCTTTACTTTCCCAGTGCTCCAAGGAAGATATTACTGTTTTTATTTTCCAGATAGAAAAACTAAGCTCAAAGAGTTTGATTAAACATTATATGCATTTGGCAGCAAAAAAGTGGCAGACTCCAAATTACCACTCATTTATTCAGCCCTTATGACCGGTGTTCCCATCATTGTACTCCACGTTTTTTCTTGACATTTTCCCTAGTGGATAAAATTTACCCCTGTAAGGTGTGAATTAATTAATAATACATATTTCCTGAGGTTACTTTAAGAATTAGTAATTATAAGATATTTTATGAAACTTATACAAAATAGTATATAGTTTGGCTTTGAAAGGCCAATTATACATTAGTCTTTTTGCCAGGTTCTTATACATATGGATTACAATAAAAACATATTCTTATAGATAAAAACTTTAGCCTAAATGTGATATAAAAATTAGTTCACAGAGAGTAAGGTTTACTATAGTTCCCCATCCTAAACAGTAGCATAAAAAAAAGTTTTAAAATATAGGCAATCTTTGCAAAATATTATGCTAATGAATTTTAAATCTTAGTGTTAACTAGCTATTTTCCATAAATAGATAAAGTATGAAAGTCAATAGAGACCAAAGTGAAAAACCTAAATAAAATTAGGGGGAAAATAATAAAATTATTAAAGAAATATCTTCTCAAAATGTACTTGGACTTCGTGTGTTCAGGCTTTCATGAAATAAATAATCCCCACATAATAAAAACTTCCTGGGCAAAAAAAAAAAAAAAAGGTGGTTAGCCTATGTTTTACTTCTAAATTATATGTGATTTGTTCCCAAAACCTGGTTTGAGAGTTTGAATTATTTAGGTGCCAGTGAAATTGTCTAAGGAACCAAGGTATAATCCAGTGTTTCTGGGATGTGAGTACTGTACCAGTTAATTTCTGTTATAAGATAAACATTTTCACAGATACTCTTCTACTTAAAATGTTTAAACTATTCTTAGAGCACTTACATACCATAAAACAAAATAATCAAATAAAACTACAAAATCAATGCTATTTGAATCAACTTTAATATGTCGAATAATATATTTTGATGAAACAAAGTCACTGCCTATTTTTATTGAGTTTTTATACCTATAATTCATATCTATGTAAATAATAGCAAGTTTTTTCTATTTAGACCTTTTCAATATCTTCATTTCTATAGCTAACTATATTGTCATTTGCCCTTCATTTAGTGCAAATCCATTATTTAGATATTCTCTCCCTCTGATCTTTTATTACTAGCCAACAGTTGTAAAAGTTATAATACTTGATGACAATGCAGTAGTAAGTACACAAAAAACATAAGTTTTAATACAATCCAGCAGCTCCACTTCTGGGTGTTTTATCAGAAGAAAACAAAAACACTAACTTGAAAAGATATCTGCACCCTCACGTTTATTGCAGCATTATTTACAATAACCAAGACATGGGGGAAAAAACTAAGTGTCCGTGGAGGTATGAATGTTAGAGATGTGGTGTATGTACATGCAATGGAACATTAACAAGTCATTTAAAAAAAGGAAATCCTGCCATTTGCAACAACATGGATGGACCTTGAAGGCATTATGCTAAGTGAAATGTCATACAGAGAAAAACAAATACTGTTTGATCTCACTTATATATGGAATCTAAAAAAAAAAAAAACTCATAGATACAGAGAACAACTTGATGGTTGCCAGAGGGTGGGCAAATTGGATAAAGGTGATCAAAAGGTACAAACTTCCAGTTATAAAATAAATAAGTCCTGGGGATGTAATATACAACATCTTGACTATAGCTAATAAGACTATTGAATATTTGAAAGTTACTAAGAGACTAGATCTTAAAATTCTTCTCATAAGAAAAAAAATGTAACTGTATGGTGATAGATATTAAGTAGACTTACTGTGGTGATTATTTCACAATATACGTATTCTGAATCGCTATATTGTATACCTGAAACTGATTTAATGTTATATGTTAATTATATCTCAATTTTAAAAACCACAAGTACTGAAATTATATGACAGCTTAGTTATAAAGTGGTAATCCAGATGATCTCCAGAGCTTGCTGATGTTAATTTTTTAGATAGATAGCAAAATAATATATTGTTTTAGAGCTCTCTTGCACCTGGAATGTATCTATTTTCCCCAGAGGTTTGTTAGTTTGAAAAATATTCGGATGGTAATTCATTAGTAAGTGTATTGTTGCTCTTCAATACAAGTACCAGAAACCTAGCTCAAAGTAGATCAAACCAGAAATGAACAATTTTTCCCTGTCTTATCTGAACAGTCTTAGTAGTTAATTTGCTTCAAGCATGGCTAGCTTCAGGTGTTTAAATGGTATCATCGGAACCTAAATGGCTCCCTTCCACCCTTCTCCACCC